CACGCACGCACGCACGCACGCACACAAAACCTTACCTTATAAAGATTTGTCGATTTCTGTAGCTTCTCGAAAAAGATAGATGAATTCCCATTTCGATGTGATTTCCACTTTACAATCACTGTCAATTAATTAAGCAGTCGACTGATTTTATTTTATGGTTATCAAAAATCACACGAAGAAAGAAACATACGGCGATTTATTAACACACGACCCGTTCACTCGACGATAGCAAACAGTCGACTGATTTTAATATCAAATTTATCATTTAATTATTATCATCCGTGTCGATTAATTATTCGTCGATTGAAAATCACTCCTCACTCGAGGAAAGAAACACCCGCACTATTTACTAACACACGACGATTTACTGACACACGAGGAGTTCACTCGGCAATAGCAAACAGTCGACTGACTTCAACTAATCACACGTTCGCGTTTCAATTGCAGCGCTGCACTATAACCATAAAATAAAATCAGTCGACTGCTTAATTAATTGACAGTGATTGTAAAGTACGAAACAGATATTAATGAGTAGATACAGTAGTAAGTTTTTCGTGATTTCTTCAAATAAATAATTTGTATGTGAATCTAGTATAAAATGTTGAAGTGATACAGTTTGTAAAAAGAAGAATTAACTAATTAATTATTTAATCTGTGTCAGTCAGTGGATAACTTGTGACGTTTGCATTAAAACTATCGAAAATTTATTAAAATAAACACTCATTATGTGGAAATTACATCGAAATGGTAATTCATCTATCCTTTTCGAGATGCTACAGAAGTCGACAAATCTTTAAAAGATAAGATTTGGCGTGCGTGCGTGCGTGCGTGTAAGTGAAAAAGAGAGGTAGAATGTAAACGTATGTTTATGCGCGCATGTAGTCAGCTGAACGCGACGGTCCCGCGTACCGCCTGCCGGCGGATAGTAAGTTGCGCCGCCCCTGTCCATCTTCCGTACGCGCCCCGTAATTCGCTAACTATTTCTCGTAATAATTTAAAAACTAAGCTTTGAACAAAATTTTTGTAAAGAAAAAAAGTAGCTAGTAAGGACCGGTTCTAATCCATGGGGCTATGAGGGGAGGTGAGGGGCAGGGGGGTCCGCGGGGAGGGGGTCCGCGGGGGCCGCGGGGAGGGGAAACCGCTCAGAACGTTCACGGTCTGATGCGCAGTCCGCGGGAGGGGAAGCCGCGGAAAGCCGCTCGCTCAGCTGGCCTGACCGCGGGGGCGGGGAACCGCGTTGTAAGTCCGGGATCCGCGGGGACGGGGAACCGCGTCGTTGGTGCGGGATGCGCGGGGAAGAGGGAACCGCGTCGTAGATGCGGGTATCGCGGGGAGAGGGGAACCACGCTCGCGCCGCCGCGTTCGCCGCCGCCGCTCGCGCTCGCCGCGTTCGCCGCCGCCGCCGTTGCGCACGGGCCCCACCGTCCCACCCCGCGGTCCCACCCGCACGTTCGCGAAGAGGAAGAGGAGGAGAATAATTAAAGAAAATATTATTAGGTTTGAAATTAAAAAAAAATTTATTTGCAATTTATGTACTAAATGTAATTATAAAAAATAATGAATATATATGATATTATTATATATTCGGCGCAAATCTGCCTATCCGTTGCCATCTGCAACAGACAAAGAAGACATATTTAAAATGTGTAAAAAGAAAAAGAAAGAAGGATAGCTAGTAAAAAAATACCCACGTTAATGGTAGAAGCAAACGGTCCTCCCGGTGGCTATGTCTAGGATGACACGCCCCCTCGTGAGAACTGTCTGGCGCCTGCGGGCTTCGCGGAGGCATCCTCGCCCTCGTCTGCGGACTATCCTGCAAGCTCTCCTGCGAGCTCACAGGAGGGCTCGTCCTCGCGTCCCATGACGCCTCCATCTGCGGGTTCACCCGCGGAGGCGTCCTCGCGCCGCTGTCATCGTCATCGTCGTCGTCATCATCGTCATCGTCGCTACTCAGAAGGTAGCTCTGAAAGAAAAAAATATCGTCTTTATCCTAAAAATAA